TCACTGGATTAATTGGCGTGACCGTGCATGAATGTCGTCCGGGACATAAGATATAGGACGAATCTAGTTCAGCATGTGCTACTTACAATGTTACGTCATGCTTTCCTTTACCTTTGTAGGTGCGTGCTGGGTGTCGGCCGCAGAGGAAGTTAACAATTTGACCCACTGACGACCTCGGTGAAAACACGCGGCGTGACTGGATAAACTGGGTCTTGTAAGGTTACTGCTTGAAATTCTGGCATTAAGGGCCAGTTTAGTAAACCAACCCATCCGCTGAAATTTTAAATTCCATCAAATATCTGGAATGAATGGATGATAGAATAACCGGGGGCGCCCTGAGTGGAGATTGCCCCCATCGCACCTTCTACATCTTTTCCAGCATTGAATCTTTCAAAGAAGACAGCTTCTGATCACTTTGAGCTAACTCGTCAGGCACACACGGAATTGGGGGTTATTATATAGGCGTATGCATGTGTCTTATGCAAGCATGCCTACAAAAGAGCGGATATTCACTCTGAAAGTTAATTTGCACAAAGAGGTAGGGCTTTTTAAGACTTTATTTACAACTCGGTTGTGTAGATAAAGCGATTACTAGTGGGTTCTAACGTACTGCAACGGGCAAAAAAGTAGCATTAAGTGGATTAGAAGTGAGAAGTCACATGTAATGCGGTACGGCTCGCTTTCGCCGTTTTTTTTTGAAAACGGATGTCGAATTTTAGACATACTCAGAACTCAGTACAAGGTGATCTTGTTTAACGAGTTTAATTCGTTCCGACACTGAGATCATCATATGAAACGCTCGTCATGCGAAACGTAACTAATCAAACTGCAGCGGTTCAATGATTGGCTGCAGGTGACCGAGGACCCACTCCATGGAAGGACACGCACTCACAACTCCTTAACTGAGCGGAAGCTCTTAAAGCGAAAGACTTTTGCTAGTGGTTCGCTCGTTACCTGAAATGCTTGTAAATGCGACTGCCCGTAAGCCGAGGCCCAACTGTATTAAGTACCCGAGTACTGATCAGTACTCACCCTAATAGCAATGTTCCGGAACCAAAGCATAGAATGGTTCCAATGGGACCAAAGGATAGAGGCGAATAGCCTTTGGTCCTACTGCGCGTTATTGCGTATATGGGCGGTATTCCATGCGCTGACTGGGGGAGGTTACAAGCCATCATCGAAATCGATGGTCGAACAC